TTTTCCAGGCAAGGAGATACGTGGCATAATGCAGCCAATGGTGTTTTTCCATCTTTTCCAGGCAAATCAGTTGTTGATGTTGATTAACTTTTTTACCTAAAATCAGCTAAGCAAATCACTATTTCTGGAAGGTGTTGATTTATTTTCCTTTTTCCCGTTTCTACAGTTAAGGTCCTCTGTTATTTGATAGCATGTCATTTTTACTTATGCTGTTGCAAGAATCAGGTAAAAGAGTCTTCAGTTATAAGCTGCTTACCATCATTTTAAAAGTTGAAGGCAATTTTGAACATTTATTGCTAAGTTTATCTTGGTGTTATATTGACCAGGCAGAGTCGAGATTGAAGAAGAAACTCATGCATGCGATGTGCGTGTGATCTAGAACTTATTGTTTTGGACAATATAGTAAGCTACTATCGCTTTAGTTTGTCTTCTTGACACTCATTAATAAATAGAGTTATATTCTTATTTATGAGATAACCTACACACAATCATGTCTCTTCAGGATTTGATGATACTGTTTTGCAGATTTGGAGCTAGCATCCATTTGAAGTGTCAACAGTCCTTAGAAGTTGTTTATAACAATTTGATGAACTGGAGGATCTACTCGAGTGATGAAGGAACCTTGCAGCAGTCGATGAACCATCCATTTGAAGTGTAAAGAGTCCTTAGAAGTTGTTTATAACAATTTGATGAACTGGAGGATCTACTCGAGTGATGAAGGAACCTTGCAGCAGTCGATGAACTATCTATTTGTGTGTGTGAGAATCTGAAGTATCTACCTGCAGTGGAAGCTCTGAAATTGTCCCCAAAACAAAAAGATGCACTGTGGAGAGCTGCCCTAGTGGCAAAGGTTTTCTCATATTTCCAAGACTCAAGTGTCCTTAGCAACAATTTTCTCACTGACTTTTTAGTTGAATATATATATTTGTGTTTAGTTTTTGGTGTCATTACAGCATCTCTGCTTTCCTGTTTCAGGTTTTAATAATCCTCTCCTTTCCAAGCAAGGACGATAGTGCAAACAGTACTGATACTTTGGCTTGGGTGACTTCAACAAATATGAATGAAAATCAAGTGGAATGTTGCTCTTCTGCACTCTCCCTGCAGGTGTCTGTCTTCATAATGCTAAAAAGTAAGGGACAACGGATTCATTTTTAGTATGACATTGTATCAGAAGAATCCACACAAGTCTATTTTGGTGGAAGGTTGTTCTGCGCGGTTCTTGCTAACTTGTTCTAGGTTTAATATTTGACCAGGCAGAGTCAGCATTCAAGAAGAAATTCATGAATGCGCTATGTGTGCCACTGCCATGCATGTTTTTGTCTCATGAAATTTTAATTTGCACAAATTGGTAAGCTATAATCCCTTTCATTACACCTAATATTTTCTTGTCATCAATTTACTGGAGTTGTATTCTTATGAGTTTGCGTCACAGGGAAACTTCTTATGGTGCAGCATAATCGGAAAACACTTTACTTGGAGGGCGTTTATCATGAAGAAGGCTCTTCCTAATGAAGTCCTAAGACCTATCTCTTACAAATAAGATAGTTTTAAGTCTTTTTAAAGCACGAATATAGCAGAAGTTTATAATAAAGCTTGTGAGTTTAGAATGTATTTGGGGTTCTTTGTTGAGAAATGGGATGAGAGAGATAAATTTAGAGTGATTCTAAGAACTTTCCTTGCCGTTGTAATGATCTTCTACTCTTTTGATTTAGTGGATTATGAACACAGTCAGCCGTGGCCGTAGACCAATTATGGTGGACCACGTTCATTTTTGAGTTTATATCTGCTTTCGTTTATCTCTTTCTTACTTTTCTTGCATTCGGTTTGCAACAATGGACTAGAGAGCCAAAGGCCACAAATTCCGTAATCCCATTTGCCGTCCTATTGACCACTTCAAGATAGATCGATCTTAAGAAGATCATTGCGTGGAACCACAGTCTAAGGGAGCTCATTGGCTAGAACAGTCTGAGAAAAGAAATGGTTCTAATATTTGTGAATCTTCCTTTGATTGTATTAGGGTTGAATTCGAAATCATTGTTCCATTATGAGAGAAGTGCGATATTTGGTGTACTGATCTTTCTTTGCTGAACTTTCTTTGTTCTTTGATTTTTAGGGCAGCTTCCAAACCCTTGTCTTCAATGAATTGTTTGACTTGACCTTATCACAATTATTATGAATATATATTATTTTAAAGTGTTAACTTCTACAGATTTTTTCTCATGCGGCTTATCAAAATCCAGAAAACCCTAGGGGCCTAATTTGAAAGGCCAAAATGTTTAAAATCAACCCATGAACTGCCACAAGTGAACTCATATGAAATTTGGAGCAACCTGTGCAAAACACCAGAGTGAACGATGAACCCATGATCCGTCTCTCATTTTAATGGAAGTGCAGTTTCGGGGTTGCTATTGAGAAACAGCGGAAGAGAAATACATGTACAGAGAGAGATTGGGAGAGAGTTGCGGGCCTCGCAATGGACGAACAGTGGATATTAGTCATACTAACAACAACCTTTGGTGAAAATGGGAAAATGCATGAGGAATACTATGTTAAACTACTTCTCACTGTATAAGACAATATATAAACCACAACTCACATTCGAGCAGCAGATTTAGAGACTTGCTTCAGAGCATTGGCAATCTCATCAGCTTTTGCTTTTCCACTTACATAGGTGACCAAGGGGCTCTCTGGAGGAACAATGTCATCTCTTAGATAGCTTCCAGATGTTCTTAGCAGCTCTTCTGAACCCTTCGCCACCACCCCTTTCATGATTATGGTCTTATGAGTCCCGGATATCATTTCTTCATAATCGGTGTCCCCACTTTCTCCAAGGAAAACATACATGTTTGCAACATTCAATCTCCAACGAACAAAAAGGTACCTAACAATCAGAAACGAAGAAAACTGGTTATCAGTTTTTAACTATGTAAGTAGGCCCCAGAGTCATTTTGTCATTTCACAATTTAAGCACAGCATAAAGATCTTGTACTGTGAACAAAACAACAGAATCATTTAAAAATAATGATCTCTATTAAATCTAAACTTCAATTCTGTGTCCTTTTCCTTTTTCTATTTTCATGCTAATCTAATCTGGGATGTAGTGTAAAGCCACCATCCCTTGACAATGAGTAGGCAATGAACCAAATTGACACCAAATGCTATGAAAATTAAGATTGACCTCATTTCACAATTTAAGCACAGCATAAAGATCTTGTACTGTGAACAAAACAACAGAATCATTTAAAAATAATGATCTCTATTAAATCTAAACTTCAATTCTGTGTCCTTTTCCTTTTTCTATTTTCATGCTAATCTAATCTGGGATGTAGTGTAAAGCCACCATCCCTTGACAATGAGTAAATGAGCAACAAATAAGGATATTACAACAGGTCATATATTATAGTACCAAAGTATCCAAAAGGATTCTCAGCAACCATTTTTCTTTTTAAGGTTGGTCATTGAACACTCCCTTATTGCGTTTATGGTACCAAAGTCCATACTTTAAGGCTTAAGCAAATGCAATTTCAAAAGCAAAAGACACAGTAAAACTAACTGTGAACTTACAGAGGATGTCCATGTATTCCAAGTTTTAAATATCAACAATACCTTAGTGCCTGTGCTCGAGAAGCAAGGAGAGGAACAATTTGCATTCTTGTTGAGCTCCTGGAGTACATTGGATGGCAACGCAGACCCCGCATCCTGAGTTTCTGCCTCAAATCATCAACTTTCCTTGCCTGCAGAAGCATACATTTTGAATTCAATCCAAAATAAATAAAATCGAATAATTTCTAAATTGCCAACACTCTAAATTTAGAAAGTTCATCTACCTTACTAGGATCCTTTATTAAGTACGAGATGCAATGAGCGTTGCTTGATTTCAAACCTTCCTGAATGTGGCTGGAAGCCGCGGAATTTAGATCACCATCAGGGGCATTCAACAGCTTCCAAATGGTTTTCTTTAAACCTTCACAACCCCAACGGTAGTCAATATGTGATGCATAATCTGGGTCAGGGAAAAGTCTTCCATCTTCTTCGGTATAAGTACCAGGGTAGTAAACTTCACTTCCACTGCTACAAACCAACGCATCAAACTCATTTGCCTGTATCTTCCCCGATGCCAAAAACTCTACTGTTTCTGACATTGGCATAGCCGTTAATAGAGCAAACCCTGTGACTCTAGCACTTTGAGAGTCTAATCTGATAGCCTTAAATATTTCTTGAACTACCTGAATCATCTGCTTTTCAGGAGATCCAGAGCTGTCATAGCAATCAAGCGCAACAACAATCAATTTCCGTCTCCTTCTTAACATGGGATACTTACTTGCCACATTATCCAGCAGCTTATTTCCACCTCCTTCATCTTTTGGACCAGACTCTGGTTTCTTCATCTTGCTTAGGACACGTTTCACTTGATCTTGCACCTCGTGATCACCAGCAGCTGCAGTCACATCAAGAGATTCATTCAATGAAGATTTATCCCCATCAACTGAGAGCCTAAGAGACATATCTTGTACATCCTTAAGGGAATCATTCAGAGACCCTTCAGCAGCCATTTCATCCCCTGGGGTGTCAGTCTGCCATTGTGGATGCCTCATGCGGCAGGCTGCTACCCTAGTCAAGTAAGTCCGGCAGTGTTCAGGCCATGAGTAGAGGTGTATGTTCTTCCAACCGTTCTTTCTGCATTCACCCCACAAATTCTTCTCTGATAACAACTTAAGCAGTGCACCAGCAATTGATTGTTGATCATGAGGGTCCACAAGCAAGCCGTTATTTAGCGCCTGAAATTCACAAAATGAAATAAGAAAAGTAACTTGGTCAACATAATTGAAATCACTGTCTTCTTTCTCTTAGCTTGCATCAATTGAATTTCCAATTAGAACAAAGTAGACAACTAAAAACTATAACAACTATCTGAAACAATTCTGAAATGTCTCTGTTGTCCCTTCTCTTCCTTCTAGGTGAAGGGGCATAGGAGATGTTCACTTCATAACATCTCAAATGCAGCACAAAATGTTAAATAAAAAATGTTATACCCGATGTATGTCAACCGGTCCACCATTTTTTGTAGCCACCATTGGAAGCCCGTGTGCTGCTGCCTAAATCATATAATAAAAAATGTATTAAACCACAGAAGTCTCATTTTCTGGAGAAAGTATAGATCGCTTTCAAAGATGGTATGCAGTAAAAACTAACCTCAATCAAGGTTAGCCCAAAAGGCTCCACTAATGCTGGATTTATGAAAACTCCCTGCCATAATCTAACCCTTTAGCACAGAATATTTGTTAAAACTATATTGGTATCTAGAAACTGTTAAAAACAAACCAACCTTTGTTTTTGCAGCAAGCCGATATATATCTGGAACATCTGATTGCTTGTGATGCTTTGGATAGGCCACTTGCCCATAAAGGTCATACTTATCAATCAGTTTCAACACTGTGGTAAGCACACTAGCATTTCCAGCAGACATCTCATCTATATAGTCCCTATTCCCCATTATCAGTGTCTGTTCAAAGCATATTAGTAAGTTGTCCGAATTTTTAATTGCATTGCTTAATGGTAAATTGAGTTATTGGACAAATCCACTTACAAGATTAGCTAGGTCTCTCAGAGGACGGCATTCTCCAAAGGCTTTCAAAAGAGTGGTTAAGTTCTTCTTTGGATCTGGTCTTGACAATGCCAAGATCATTGGCTTGTGAGGATTTGTAAGGAACCGCATCAGCTGCCAAAGGATTTTGAATATGAGGCAACAACAGGATTAAAGTTTAAATGCACGATTATATGATGAGGAAAAGACACTCACTTCTGACCATATTGTTGGAAGTGCTTTTGGGGAAGACCCATCGGTACCACCAGTAAGTTGATTAAGTTCCCCATCAACCTCAGGAGCATCTTCTTGGACCACAACATTACTGAAGTCCATGCCTGGTGGTATAACCTACATGGGGAATGTCCTCAGTTAGAAAAAGAAACAATCGCATTGCCATATGTCATGTTCATCTTCATTTTCAGTCTCAGAAGAGCGAGAAAGATGATATAAGGGCATAAAGATAATTCAGAATCATGAAATTAGATTTCAATCCTCAAGTTTCTTCTTGTAGTCAAAATGGGATTATAAGTAAATTATACATTTTGGATCTGGAGTCATTCTTCCTTTTCCAGTTATCCATATTATAAAAGGACCAAGATCAGGAAAGAAAAATTAAAACAAAATCATCTACACATATTCTTTCTTCCTTTTCTAATTTATCAACACCCAGAAACATCCTCGATAAGGCAGTGCTAGATATAATAAAAAAGAAAAAAGAAAAACAAAGAAAATCATGAAGAATAAAGCCACTGGCTTACCACCATCCTTGGCATGTAACGGCCATGGCAATTTACTCCTCGCCTAGCACGGGCACGCAACACTTTTTCGAGCTTGACATCAAACCCATCATAAAGTCCCCATTGCTCATCGATCTCTTGTTTTGTACTTGTAATAACAACTTCTGCAGCATCAAGGGAAAGCTCTTCTGCTTCTATCCTCCTCATAATCTTATATGTTGAATTGATGTCCTCCTTTGATTGGCGTCCCTGCTTAAGAAGCTGTTCTAGCTTGTTTCTTCCAAGTGAGTGTCCTGTTAGAACCATTGGGACATTCAAAGCACCAGAAAGAAGAGCAGCACTATCCCCTGCATCTGCATAGTGGCCATGAATTACGTATGGCCAAACAGGCTGGCCTTTACCAATCTGTTCACCCAAAACTTTGGACATGTTAAGAATGTGAGCTAGAGCACCATC